TATACACACACACACACACACACACACACATATATACATACACACACACACACACACACACACACACACACATAAAATTTTGTTGTTGTTACCAGGGATCGAACTCAGGAACTTGTGCTTTCAAGGCAGGCTGCTGCACCACTAAATCCTGGCTGAATATACAATTTTAAAAACTCATTTTCTTACTTCAAAGGGTAGCACAGGCTAAAGCCGCAGAGAGCTGATCCATTACACACAATGAATACCCTCAGGACAGCAGGGTTTCATGCTCTCACAGATGTCCAACTGAGAAAGGTGAAGTGATGGGAAAGATACATGTACACGCATTTTTTTTTTTTTGGTACTGGGGATCAAACTCGGGAACTTGCACTTGTGAAGCAGGTGGCAGAACCACTGAGCTAAATCCCCCGCCTAAGGTACATGCATTCTTAATTGGGGGCTCTAAATGAAATTAAAGAGAGAGAGAAAAAAAAAAAACTGTTGGCCAGGCACGGTAGCATACCCGTTATCACAGCACTCTGGAAAGCTGAGGCAGGAATAGCTCAAGTTCAAGTTCAGCCTAGGCAACTCAGTGATTTAGAAAGACTCTGTCTCAAAATAAAAAGTGAAAATAAGGCCAGGCATGGTGGTACACACCTGTAATTGCAGCACTCAGGAGGCTGAGGCAGGAGGACTGGTGGGATTTTGAGGCCAGCTTGGGCTACATAGTGAGTTTGAGGCCAGCCTGAACTATATAGTCAGACTCTGTCTCAAAAACAAAACTCAGAAAATATACTCATAGTATGGTACACAAACCTGTAATTCCAGCTACTTAGAAGGCTGAAGATTCAGGCCAGCCTGGGCAATTTAAACCCTATCTCAAAATAAAAAAAGGTCTGGAGATATAGCTCAACGGTAGAATCCCTGAGTTCAATCCTCAGCACTAGGGGGAGAAAAAAAACCCAAAAGACAAAACGTGTAAATTGCTTGGTATAGGAAATATTTACAACTACTCAGATTTTAAGCTTTTTACTTACAGTTGATCAACCCATATGATGAGAAGGAATTTTCTGAATTTTTGTTTTTGTTTATTTGAGGCAGGGCTCACTATGTAGTCCAGTCTGGCCTTGAACTCCTGGAGATCTTTCTGCCTCAGCCTCCGGAGTGCTGGGATCACAGGTGTGCGTCACCAACGTCCCACTTTCTTGGATATTTTCAAAGAAGGAAATTAAAACCTAGTCTTCCCTTTTACCAATGAGGATCTGAATGTGTACTTGTATGAAATCTGAAGGACAATAAAAGACAAGAAAGCGTCTGTAGAAAGAGGCAAAGAGCCAGGAGTGGTTGTTTATGCCTGTAATCCTAGCACTCTGTGAGGCTGATATCAAGAGGATTGCAAGTTACAGCCCAGCCAGGCCAACCTAGCAAAACTGTCTCAAAGGGTTGGGGATATAGCTCAGTGCAAAGGCCCTGGGTTCAATCTGTACCACCACCAAAAAAAAAAGGCCTAGGGTTTAAGGTAAGAAAGGAGGCTGTAAGTTAATTTCTCCATTTACAGACAGACAGACAGACAGACACACACACACACACACACACTCTGCCTTCCAAACAGCTAAACAGAGCACTTTTGAAAGAAATACTCTGGTCCAGTTCTAAAGAAGTAATGCTGGGCATGGTGGCACATGCCTATAATCTCAGCACTTGGGAGAATATTCCTGCAAATTCAAGGCCAATCTGGGCTACATAGCAAGTTCAAATCCAGCCTAAACTACACAGAGAGACCCTGCTGCCTTCCTCCTGGAGCACAAGGATCCATCCGTTTGATCCCCGGTTCCAAAAAAAAAGGAGGTAATAAGTACTTCTATATGAACAAGCAAAAGAGGACATCTAACTAGAGAGGGGGAAATAGACATCATTGATCCTACTGTAAGAATTCTGAGAAGTCTGAGAAGAGAATAAGGAGTCTGGAAAATATTTCACAATTCATAATAATTCTATCAGGTATTCCAGAACTTTGATGGAATGCTCATCCTTTATGACAGACCTATACGATAGAAATGTCCAGGAAACCAGGAGAGAAAAGAGTTTTTTGAAGGAGACTGACAGGGAATAATCAATGAAAAACCAAATTCAGAAACCAAAGGAAGAAATCTGTGATGACAAATATCTGTATTCTGGTTTTCTGTTTTTTGTTTTTTTTTTTCTCTCTCTCTCTCTCCACGATTTGAAGCGAATATGGATTTTGGATAAACCTAAATCAGTATACCATCCCTAATGCTAAGAACTGGGGGGACCCCGAAGAAGCCTGATCCCATGCACTTAGGCCCCTAAGGACGGCATATGACCCCCTCAACTCTACAGACTGCCGCTGTCCGGCAGCGCTTCCGGCTCTAAACCACGGCTTTGGGTCCCGCACTAGGCCACACACTGATTCTACTGCACCGTAGAATCTTCGGTCCCCGAGGATTACCCGTAACTCCCCTTTCTCCCCCTCCCAATCGTCTGAACTCTGACTCCCAGTCCCTCTGTGCACCCCAGCAGCTCGGCTACCCCTCCAGCTCCTACCAAAATCACCGCCTCCATCTTGCCCCGCAGCTGGTGCCGACGTGGATCCGTAAAAGCAACGCCACCACTGATTGGTCCTGAATCCTCACTAAGCCCCGCCCAATATAAGGGTCATTGGATGATGACAAGTCAGCCATTGCTGTGCTGACCAATTAGTGTACTATCTTGCGTAGCGGAAGAAAGGTGTCCACCCAGATGGCACAGGCATTTGATTGTCAGTTTATACACTCAATAAAGTGCTAAAACATCACGACTGAATGGGACCGGAGGGTCAGTGGGGCGGGGCTGTTTCCATGGGGAACAGAGGAAGCGCTGGTTAATTTTCAATTGGTAGAGCGAAAAGCACGTGACATCAATGAACTGATTTAGTGGCTTTAATCCGCACTCCCTTTAGGGGGCGCTATGCCTCCTTAGCCTTTAACGGGTTTTTCTGGACAAAATCCTACATAATCCCTATTCCCAGCGCCCCCGCTAGGTCCTCCCACCTTCAGGGCTGCTGTGGCAGACGTCTAAACTCTGCTGTCAGACTAGCTCAGGTCACTGCAGCATTCTGACAGAAAGTGCACGACCGTGGAGTTAGAGCCAAGAGAGGCCCAGCGCGTTAATTAAATAAGCTGAGACTCCCGGCAGTTGGTGGTCAAGTTAACGAGCTCCCCGTATTGTATTTCTAGGCTTTGCTGAGCTCAGGGATGGGTAGGAAACCAGTGAATTTCTTTGTTTGTGATACGGTCTCACTTTGTAGTCCAGGGTGGCCTCGAACTTGCTCTATCCTCCTGTCTCAGCCTCCCAAGGGCTGGGATTACAGGTGTGCACTACCATGCCCGACGCCAGTGAGTTTCTGACGGTATTTTTTCTTCGGCTCATCATGAAACAGGATGTTAGAGCTTTGAAGACCAGAGAAGAGAGAATATGAAGGGAAACGGCTAAAGAGACTAGAATAGGTGTGTTCTGCCGGTATAGGGAGTAGTAGAATCTGTGGTTTTCCTGCAAGGTCTAGATGTTGCAAAATGAAAAAACAAAACATAAAAAATAAAAAAGAGAGAAGTTTACTGAATGCTGGGATTTCACAATAGGGAGGAGTTTTTAAAAAATGAAGTTTGGCTTTCCTCTCCACATGGAGTTCTCTGGCACTGTATAGAATTAATAGAGGGGCTGCGCATGCTGGCAACCCAACTACAGGGGTGGGGGTGAGGAACAGTTCAGAGTCCAACAATCGGTAAGGGCAAGATCTCCATGTGTTAAAAAACAAACAACAAAGCCGGTCATGGAGGTGCACACCCGCAATCTCAGCACATAGGACGCGGAAGCAGAAGAATCACAGCGAGTTCAAGGCCAGTCTGGACTACAAGACGAGACCCTGTCTCTAAATAAAACAAAATTTACAAAATGGTTATGTAGATGGTTATTGCACACATTTTGTAGAAACTGGAGCAGTAGCTGGGCGTGGTGGCACATGCCTGTAATCCCAGCACTTGGAAGGCTGAGGCAGAGAGATCACTGTGAATTCGAGGCCAGGTGAACTACATAGTATGATCCTGTCTAAAAAAACAAAAAACACCACCAACAAAAAACAAATCCGGAGCAGTTAAATAATTTACTTAAAACCATATGGCTATCAACTGGTGACAGGACATGTGAGCACAGGGGATCTGGTTCCAACCCCATGTCATTGCCCACCATTCTGTGATTTGAAGTACAGTCTCTTGCATGCCAGCCTCGCCTGAAGAATCCTACGCCAATAGAGCAGAGCTACGTGTTCGCTCGGACTCCCCGCAGGAGAAATGGGATGTGATTGGTATGCAAGGTAATTGACTCCTCCTTCTCTGTGGAGTAACTGACAATTTTTGGAAGAAAGGGTCTCGATATGTAGTTCAAGCTGGACTTGAACTCACTTGTATAGCCCAGGCTGGCTTTGAACTCAAGGCGATCCTCCTGCCTCTGGTCTCCCAAGTGCTGAGATTACAGGCATGTGCCACCACACCCAGTTTAATTTTTTTTTTTTTTTTTGAGACAGGGTCTCACTATGTAGTTGAGACCAACCTGGAACTCACTATGTATCCCAGGCTGGTCTCGAACTCACAGGGATCCTCCAGCCTCAGTTTCCCAAGCGCTGGGATTATAGGTGTATGCTGCCATGCCCATCCACAATTTTTTTCATTTTGTTTTGTTTTTCTGGTACCAGGACTGGAACTCAAGACCTTGCTCTTGCAAGGCAGGTGTGGTCCCACTGAGCTAAATCCCTGGTCCTTATAAATTAAAAAATCAAACAAAACAAAAAGCAGCTAGGGTTGTAGTTCAGCTCTGGAACACTTGCCTAGCATGCACAAGGACTTAGACTCAATCCCTGGTACAAGAAGGAAAGAAGGAAAGAAAGAAAGAAAGAAAGAAAGAAAGAAAGAAAGAAAAAGAAAGAAATGAAAGAAAGAAAGAAAGAAAGAAAGAAAGAAAGAAAGAAAGAAAGAAAGAAAGAAAGGAAGGAAGGAAGGAAGGAAGGAAGGAAGGAAGGAAGGAAGGAAGGAAGGAAGGAAGGAAAGAAAGAAAGAAAGAAAGAAAGAAAGAAAGAAAGAAAGAAAGAAAGAAAAAGAGAAAGAAAGAAAGACCATTACCAAAATGGAGATCCATAAAGCAGTCACTCCTTGCTTCCCCATCAACCCAGCTCAGGCAGTTACCAATGTGTTTTCTCTCTCTGTGACCATTTCAAAAAATGGAAGCATACAATATGTGATCTTTTGTGTCTGGCTTCTTCTTTTTTTGGTTTTCTTGAGACAAGATTTTACTATGTAGTTCAGGCTGTCCTGGAACTCAACAGCGATCCTCCTGCCTCAGCTTCCTGAGTGCTGAAATTGCAGATGCACATAACCATGCCCACTATGTCTTTGTGTTTTTAAACACCATCCAGTGGATATGAAGTGGTATCTCATTGTGGTTTTGATTTGCATTTCCCAAATGACTAATGATTTTGCCATCTTTTCATGTGCTTGTTCATTTGCATACCTTCCTGGGAAAAATGTCTATTTAAGTCTTTGGCCCATTTTTAGGTTAGGTTGTTTTTAGTTTTTTATTTTTGGTTGGTTGGTTTTTTTTGGTACTGGGGACCGAACTTGGGCTCTTGTGTTTGCAAGGCAGGCGGTGAAACCACTGAGCTAAAGCCCCGGCCCTCTTTAGTTGTTTTTTTAATGTATTCTGGGTCTAGTCCCTTATTAGATACACGAGTTTCAAATATTTTCTCCTCTTCTGTAGGCTGTATGGGAGCAATTTTAAGACAATTAACTTGAGAGCTGTGTGTGAAGAAAAATGAAAGACAGAAAGACAGAAAGATCACCAAGGCTGGCATGGAAGTTCTTTCCTTTTTTTTTTCAGACAGGATCTAAATTGGCCTGGTGAAAACTTGAACTCATGATCCTCCTGCTTCCGCTTCCTTCAGTTCTAGGATTCCAGGTACGTACCACCATGCACAGCTGCCACTGCAGTTCTTTAGTGTAGAGGGAACACAAACAAGAGTTAGAAAATGCCCCCTAAAGCCGGATGGAGTGGAGCACGCCTGTAATCCCAGCACTTGGGAGGCTGAGGCAGGAAGATCGCTGAGAATTTGAGGCCAGGATGGGCTACATAGTGAGTATAAGTCCAGCCTGAACCACGGTAGACCCTGTCTCAAAAAACAAAAACAAAAACACCTCAAAACACACAAACAAAAAAGAACATGCCCCAAAAGATGTAGCTCGGTTTGAAGGCCCTGAGTTCCACTCCCAGTACTTAGGAGGGGGATGCAGAAAGGAAAGGAAGATGCACCAAAAATATTGTGCACCACAGGTAAAGTCAATGTGTAATGGATTAGGTCAGCCATTTTGGAAGCAACGAATAATCTGATGTGGTTTGAGGAAAGCACAATTCTATCAACATACCTAAAGCTGTAGCAAGCTAATCACTTAAAGTGAAGTGGCCAGAGCACTTTACACAATCAAACTCTAACCCAATCAATTATAATAGCATGGCTGAAGGGGATATAAACAGATCAATTATATTAACTTGGCTAGAGCTGAAACCCAATCAACTGAATTGTACCTTGTCTTCATAGAAAGGGGAAGGGGAGGTAGTGTGTAAAAATCCTTCCCCCATTGGGCTGCGGATTTAGCTCAGTGGTGCTAGCACCTGCCTTGCAAGCACAAGGGCCTGAATTCGAATCCTGGTACCAAAAAAACCCAAAACAAAGAGCCCTTCCTGAACATACCCCTCAAAATTTGTTGATATTTCTTCAGTGGTTTTTTTTTGTTTTGTTTTGTTTTTTTGGTACCGGGGATTGAACTCAGGTCCTTGCACTTTCAAGGCAGGTGCTGGAACCACTGAGCTAAATCCCCAGCCCTTCTTCAGTGATATTTAGGGAAGATTTGACCAACATGAATGAATGTCTTCTATCTTTATAATGGAGATGGATGCAGTTCTATTAGTCATGAAAATTATCCAACTAATTCTTTGTTTGTTTTGTTTTGTTTTTTTGAGACAAGGTCTCGCTGTGTAATTTAGGCTGGCCTGGAACTCATGGTGATCCTTCTGCCTCAGCCTCTTGGGTGTGGAGATCACAGGCATGTGCTACCACGCTTGACACCAACTGACTTTATTCGTTCACTGAGCTTCATATTTGCCTTCCAAAATAGTCAACTGTTTTGATCAGTCAACAGAGTTGTCTAGGTCAGTCTATAACCATGTAAGTTTGATTAACATAAGTCACTTTTTCCAAGAGAAATTAATTGACCAAAATTGAACCTCTGGACACTCAAACTAAGGCCTCAATTAAATTAGAAAACTAAAACAGCAGCCGGCCGCAGTGGTGCACACCTGTAATCCCAGCACTCAGGAGGCTGAGGCAGGAGGATTGCCTCGAGTTCAAGGTCAGCCTACACTGTGAATTCAAGGTTGGCCTGTGCTACATAACAAGACTCTGTCTAAAAAGTAAATAAATAAATAAGCAAACAAATTAGCAATTTTCTAACTCTTGTCACTGAATTAAGTGGCATTATGTACCTGTACAAACTCCCCATAATGAGTGTAATCAGTATGTGCTGCAAACATGGACCTAATAAAATTAAAAACAACAAGA